TGTTTGGATCAACTCTTCAGCATACGAGTCTTAGGTGAGCTCCCTTGACTGCAATGTAAATGAGCTCTTGCTGAAGTTATTAATCCTTTTAAAGTCAAATGGGGCCTGCTCTGGCTAATCATTGCTTCCTAGAGACATCTTTCCTGTAATGGATAAACTGCTAACACGATGCCTTTCGCTATTCCTACACAGGTACACGTCACCATCAGTCAACTGCAGCAATTGGTATTGCAGGCACAGAATAAAGCAGGTGGCAGGTACTTGCAGCTTATTGTTCTCTGGTGCAAAACACCCAGAAAAAAAGATGTATTCCCTTAGTATACTGGCATTACTATCTGCACAGATGGTCCATCTTTAGCAGCGGTATCCCTAAGGAAGCAGCAGTGAGTAGACAAGTGAGTGCATCCCAGGTTTGGCTGAGCTTCAGGCTGGCACCACTCTGGAAGCTTTGCTAGAAGTGCAGTGGCCTACAAGCCAGACATGGGAAACAGTGTCAGCTTCCTTTAGCTTAGGTGAATCCCAGGCTTTCTTCCCGGAGCTCTTTGGTTTTCCCCATCCTTATAAACTCCTCTTCCTCAGACAGGAAGGGAGGAGGCACTGGAGTGATGACCCAGAAGAACTTGCAGAACAGGATCAGGGCACAGAAAAAGGAGTTGCAAGGCAATCCTGGCAAATTGAGAAGGAGCCAAAGACCTGGATAAACTGGACCTGGGACAGCCCCAAGGGCACCTTTCCTCAAGCCCAGGCAAACTTCTCCATCACCTAAGCTTCAGGTCTCCCACTCCCTTAGAAGTTCTTCATGAAACACCCTTAGAGCGCAACTCTGACAATTTGCTGTTGATTTTAACATTTGATTTCTTTTTGAAGAATTCTGCTAAAATCTATGCAGGTCCATCTTCATTAATCAAATGGTTGGTTTGTTTCCTAAATGGGAAGCTATAAACTGACAGCTCAGAACCTAGAAGTAGCAAATGCAAGAAGGGGATATGTAAGTATAGCAAGAGCTTACTTGGAGATTCACCCTCCACTCCACCCTGTTATGGGCAGGTGACTCTGTCATCAGATGATCAGGCACTTTCTTGCAACCTTAATTTTCCTGATAATTATTTATTTATTTAGCCTAGTAAAAGTTTTCAAGTTAAAACATGAAAACGCACTAAGAATAATGAGAAGCCCACTAAGAATAAATCCATTATCCTCCCATGAACTGTGCTCATTGACACTCCACCTAACATATTTCTCTGGAACCACAAGGAAATCACCAGCTTTTGACATAAGTTTGGAATTAGTGACAGTAGGAGTTGCTACAGTGCTTTTCTGGGATGACTTACTCTGTCAGCAAATTACCCAGAACACCACCTGAAGTCTAATCCTGAAACTGCTGAGCACTCCTGAATCACTTCAAAAATAATGCTCTGAAAACAGAAAAATCCTCTGATAAAAACACCATGTTAATACATGCGCATGTGTCTGTTATCACAGTTCAACCTACTGAGATATGAAGCTTACAGCTTAATAACGCAAGACATGATGACTCCCTCTTTGCCATTCTTCCTGAAGTATGTCCTCAAAAGAGGCATCGGACATCGCCTTAATGTGTGGTTTCTGCCATACAGTTCCTATTAATGCATAAAAGTAGGCATTTAAAAAGCAAAGCTGGCATCTTACTCATAAAGTAGGTGGCTCTAAAATTTGGATATGGAGCAGTTCTAACCTGAAACAAACCTGGTTAACTGGAGAGCAGGGTTCCTCGCTCCTGATTCAGGAGAGACCAGGCATATAACATACATTTCTTCCTTGGTATGGAAGCTACACGCAACATTGAAGTAAAATTTTTCCACAAATAAAAACAAGGTGTAGCTGTAATTATAACTGTGTTCGCTTTCTGTAGCTAATCCAGAGGTAATAAATATGTACATAGACAAAATATTTTACAGACTGAGCATTAAGCTAAGAGAAAAAAAGATCTAGGTTTCTCTTTCAGCTCTTCCATAAAGTTGCTAGATGTGTCTTCTCAGTGGGTCCTCTTCCTCTGGTTTTTCTTCCCCCCTCCCCCTTTTTAACTTCCATGAATCTATTCAGTAGTCAGTAGTCTATATAGGAGATGATCTCTGCAGAGTATAGAGGGTTAAGGAATGTTTATGAAGTAAATAATAACAGTAGTCAAACTCTCAATCTATACTCGTCAAAAGGCATCAATTTAAATGCTTCAGATTCTGCCTGGTTTTAAGCTTATCTAGTCAGAGAACAGAATGCAGATTGTGCCATGTCATTTCAAATTCAGAAAGGCTGGTAGGATCACAGAATAAGTCAGGCTGTAACATCTCGTTCATCTCGTCCCACCCCAGCTGAAAGCAGGGCCAGCTACGAGGTCTGAAATTCCCTATTTGGGCAGAATTTCCCTATTCACGGGATTCAGCAGCACTGCAGAACCAGGCGGAAGAAAATCACCTACAAAGCACGCTGAGGACAGGATGATCCCACAGAACTTAACAAAAAGTGTGAGTAGACAAGAAATATTTAAACCAGAATTTACTCATAGCATGGCAGAACTCCTTCTCTCACAAAGAAGCGTCATTAGCATTTAATTTGCTTTGATTACCTGAAGATGGCACCTCAGTTACGATCTTGTAAACTATTACTGATCTCAAGCGGTCACAGATAAAAAGGCCTTTCACTGAATGATCATAAAGTCAATATATGGGTTTACCCAGTACTCACAAACCCAATATTCTATTATTTATTATATTTCCTAACTGAACATAATTTGTTTCACTGCTCACTAGCTGAAATAGCACCAGCAAAGTAGTTTGCCAGCAAAATTGCAACCAGAGGTGAGAAACAGCATTCCACTGCAAGTCTGTATGGTTTCTGTTGCCTTCCTCATTTCTTGAGGTAATTTGTTTAAAAGGTGACCTCCAGGTCCTCTCCCTGCCAGCAAAGTTAAGAAACAAAATATAGTGAGATTTTCAAACTGCAAGGGTCTCACAGACCATTCCCAAGTGGCTTCATCCATTTCTGCGGCTATGTTCATTAGGACACAAGGAGCATGTTGGAGTGTTCATTAGGTTTCAGTGAGGTTTATGAACGTAACAGGAATGTGCCAGGACACATTTAGCTTTAAATGGCTTCATTATAGTACCCTTCAAAATGAAAGCTACCAAGCTACCATAAATTAAGTTAAAATTCTTATGAAAATGAGATAGTTCTTATGCTCTTAAGATTTACAACAGCCTCTGGCCTACTGCACAACTTTGTGATGCAACATGTAATATTTTTACTTGTTTAATTAAGGATAAGCTAAGAGTGACTTGGCACATGCAGTGAAGGCTTCCTTAGCTTTTGTTCTCTTCCAGTTTCCTGTGGCCAAACGCAAACAGGAGCTGTCATCATAAACAAAGCAGGAGAGTCGTTTCCCTGAACCAAGTGCCGGGCTGTGGAAAAACCGGATCAAATTTTCAGAATTGCTCTTGATTAAGGCAACTCTTAGAAGTGACTGCTTTCTTTGCTGAAGAGGAGGTTGAAAAAGGAGATGCAATTTCAAAGCTGAACCGTTAGGGGAAAGCTGTTCATTCATTTAACTCTGGTGCCACTGGACTCGCACATGGAAGGATGAGAGGGGCTTAAACGCAAAGCTACTTTACACAGAAAGGTCGCTCTGCATTTGAAGTTTTTTAACTCCTCTTCCTCTCCTGCGTGTTAAGTGCTGCTTCCCACAGCTGATTCACCCAGGGGCCATACAACTGCAGTGGTTGATTTTCATCCGAATGAATTCTTTGAGCAGCAAATGCTTCAGCTAGCGCTTTCTCTCTGAACCACCTGGCCCACAGTCCGAAACCCTTGCCCTTGTAAGACTACTCAGTTCAGGGATGATCGGGTGTAGGTAGCAAAACTGATATTAGAGTAAATCACAGAATTGTAAATATTAAATATTTTCAATCAAATAACAAAATATTATGAATAAATACCAAATAGCCGCAAAGTATTTCCTTTTCATTAACAGACCTATTTGGTAACAAGAGTCATATCCGCAAAGCTGTCACCAGTAACGTTCAGAGGAAAGCCGTAGCAACCTCTGTGCTGACACACGGCTCAGAGGAACCTTGGTGGTGGGAATGAGGGTTAATAGCCCCGGTTCTGTGACATGTGGCTGGCTAGAACACAGTTTTCATTCATGCAGAACTGCCAGCCTCCAGTCTTAGAGAGTCATGAGCCAAGCCCCTAGATTAAGGATATTCAGCTAAAAAAACATTCAGCTTGCAGTAACATCTCAAAGCTGGCGATATTATGAACGAAACAATAAGAAGACTGTCTGTGACGATGGCCACATTTGTACCAGTGCTTTGACTAAGGCAGCTACAGCAATGGACCAACCTCCTGCATAAGCGAGTCGAGAATTTGGTACAATTCCCCCGACATCAACTGCTGGAGATCATTTGTATTTGCCGAATCTGCCCGGTTCTCTCTTACTCCATAGAGAGACAGGGGAAGGTGACAGACCAAGCTCGCAAGGTGAATGCCAAGCGCCTGGGAGCCCTGCGCACGCAGCCCTGCAGCCCGCGCAGCCTAGGCGGGAGCGGACGGGCAGCGCAGCCTCGCGTGGCTCCACCGCTCCCTGCACGCTCTGCCTCAACATCTGTAATCAAAATGTTGACTGAAAGGAGAGAAAGCACATACAACTAGAGCAGATTCTCATGTCTGCGGCAAAAAAAGGGGCTAAAAAATAATACAAATGCTTAGCCGAGAAAGTAACGTTTAGGCATTTTTTTAAAACGTAAAATGAACCCAGGACACTTGAACATTAGCTTAGATTTTGCCCTTTGCTGCTCTCTGGCATAACTAAATGTGTTCACATATGCAAACAAGAAGAAAACGTGGCCTCTTTCAGCAGTAATAAGTATCTGCCTGTTGCTACCTTAAAATCACAGCAATCTCAAATCGTAACTGCCCTTTTCTCATGTTTCCACTAGTTTTCAGACTTCCTCTTGTGGTAGCTTGAGGCTGCGCATCTGGATGTTTTAAACATACAAAGGAATTGCTAGAGCAAGCAAAAGAGAAAACGGTGCAGAGAGCTAAGATGTGCAGATAAGCAACTGGTGTACCGTGCAGCTAAAGTAACCGGTCGGGAAAACCTCTCTCCAAGGAGAATAGCGCAAGTTTAGGCAGAATGAAGACCCACATTGTCTTTGGCTTCATTTTTAAAGTACTATTAATCCACGTCTATCTTTTTAGCAAAACTTTAGCTGCACCGTCACCAATCATTAAGTTTCCTGGAGACAGCACTCCAAAAACAGACAAAGAACTAGCAGTGGTAAGTCTTGGTTTCGTCTTTGCTTCAGATTTCTATTATTGTTCTTCATAAGCAGATGTTTCTTTCTTGTTTGAGCAGAGGCTAGGAAACGACTGTTGCATTCTCTCGCTGGAGTCTCTGGAAGAGCAAGCTAGCTAGCAAAGGTATCAGCTTTCAAAAGTAAAAACTAGAGCCAAGTAACGTTTCCTCTCTTAAAATTTTTAAAGCCAACAAAGAGTCTGGTTTTTTTTTTTTGCCTTAAGTCCGAACATACAAAATAATTTCACTAAATCACTGTGACTATAGTCAAAAGACTCCAACAGTTAAGAGGGGAGAAGGGCAAAAAGATACATAGAAGATTTGACTGAAACCATATAGAACGGAAGGTTGCGGAGGCACACTTACATAAAACTGGGCTTAATGCATGCAGCACATAGCTTTGCAGAATTTTGTTTTCCAGGTTGTTTACCATGCATTGCATAAGCACAGCTTTAAGGAGCAACTACAGCCGAAAGCTGGCTCGAGTTTCAGAAGCCATAATGACTAGTTCTAAGTTTGAAAAAAAAAATCTTATCACAGCTTTGAAGACATATTCTTCTCTAAATTCGATCTGGAACAAAAAAAGGAGTTTAGGTTTCTGAATGTGACATTAGGAAATTACAGCTATAGCTCTACAGCATTTTATTCTAACCTTATTTTAGCCCTGTGGACCTTCATAAAAATGACATTATGGAGAAGTCCATTTAAGGGGAGATTGAGATGGATTATCCTTATTTTAGCATGTAAATTATAGACATTTCTCTTCTTCAGCAGTAACTCCATTTTAAGGAAGATTGAGATAAATTATTCTTATTTTATCATATAAAGGGTTGAAAGTTGGTCACTTTTCTTTAGGAGCTGGTATGCATCTTGGGAAACCTTGCCAGGTTAAGGGAGGTCGGAGGGGGGATAGAGCGAGAATCTGCAGACAGGGGGGCGGGGGAAGCGGCAGAAAGTTTAGGAAAAGCAGACAAACTGACCCCAAAAGGGCTCTCCTCAGCACTTAAAATCATCCAGGGTTTTGCCTTGGCAGCATGACAACCAGAGGATGGGGGCTGCGTGTGTGGGAGAGGAGAGTGGGGTCACACATGTCTAACGGTAATTTAACCACGCTTAAATAATCTATTTTCTTAGACACAGTCAGGCTTTTATTCAATTACAGCAATCCACGTCTCCTCTCATCTTTATTTCTCTCAAACAACCTATTTATTATGTGTACTCCGAGGAAAATTACAAGCTGTGTTAACACTGCAGCTCTTCTTTGTCTTTGGTGCAGTATTCTTGGGTGACGCTAACTGGCTGCCTTTCCCTCAGCCCCTCCGTGTGAGCAGCCCCAGTACTCAGGAGCAGGACACAAATTGCTGTGTTGCAGCTGGACCCTGTTTCATTAACGGGCTGGATCTAAATTCCAGATCACCACAGCTCCCTGCTGACTCCGGGGAAACTGCAGTTTGCAGCGTAGGCCAACATGTGGTTTACAGAGACACTAAATTTTCTTCAGGATTCTCTTCTCCTAGAACAGCTGGTTATGTTCATTTCTCATCTTCAGTAAAATCACCATTTTAGGAAAAACTGAGAGGACTTAGGTTTATATTTATAATCCTAGGAAATAAAATTCTTTATCATGCCTCATTTTATATTGCTTTATATTATCATGCTCCCAAACCAAAAATGGCAAGAGCAGTATGCTGCTGCTTCAGTAAACTTCAGTCCTGATATGTGGTCTGTTCTGTGTCACGGTACTTCACTGGGAGATACAGACAGAAGCATCATATAATATGTCAAAAGTACCTCGAGATTAAAATCATAATAGATCCTGCAAACTGGCCTGTTTGTGCTCTTAACGCACTTCTCATCATGCCACTCGGCCCCATTAACTATGAGAAGCCAGAAGAAACTCAGTCACAGCAAAGGTGAAGCCGGTACAGGATGTGTGTGCCCGCTGCTTGCTAGTGCAGCTGTCTCCACTGGAGGAATACCCCATCAGAAGAAGGTGTTACAAAAAACATAAAGAGTAAGCGCAGTCTGTGCTCAGCCAGTAGATGGATGGAGGACCTTCCAAAGGAAATGGTGTAACAACTTCAGTAAATCTTGACCTCTGTTTAGCAGGCAGCCTGTTGCGTAGCCACATTTTGCTATTCCCCTGTTAAGAGCAGAGCTGAAAAAGGATTTATCCTTCCAGGTGGAAGGATACACCTGGAAGTTTTGTTGGTTGCTTTTTTTCAGGGTCATTCTTTTTAGTTTGAATGAGTAGGTTGTTACGGCAGCTGTCACCTCGGGCTACAGACTGCCAGACAGGCTCTCAGGGTTGGTCCCTTCCCCAAGAAGTCCACAGTCAGTCTGTCAACATTTGATGTTATGGGGAAAAAATACTAAGTTGTTTGGGTGAGGTCACTTTGTATTGCACAGAAGGTGGGGATCACGTATGGATATTTGAGACCACAGCTGTGTACCTACAGTTTAGTTTAACAGAAGTACGCAACGCAGCAATACGCATCTGAAGGACACGGCTGCTTACCTGGAGCAATTGCCAGGGAACAGACTAAGCCACAGCTCCTCCGCCGTCACAGGCGGACTTACTGCACTTACACAGCACACCTGGCGGTGTCTGCAAATCACCTCCAATGGTTAAAAGGGAGGAACTGACATCTCCTAGCTCTTGGGCTCACTTTTTTTTTTTTTTTTCAAATT